GACATAATGTGTGTAGGTTGTGATGATGAAGATAAGAATGATGATACAAATAAGAAGAAGTGTCGTGTGAATTGAGTAATGATAACTCCAAGGACAGTGTGATAAATGAAGATGAAACAAAAAGTGGAATGAGACCAAGAAGGCAAATCAAACCACCAGTTCGATTTCATGAAGAATTCGGGTACTACTGTGTTAGTGCAAATTTTTGTGATGCTACAGTTCCAGGTAACTTTGAGGAGGCGACAACATGCAGTGAGGCTGGACATTGGAAAGAGGCAATGAACACTGAAATGAACAGACTTGTTAAAAATAACACTTGGACACTAGACACTAGTGACTAAACCAGAGGATAAAGCAATTCTAGATGTGAAGTGGGTATTCAAAAGAAAACCAGGTAATGTTTTTAAAGCTAGATTAGTCAAGGTTTTCCAGCATCCGTGAGGATTCAGGTTTCAGCAAAAAGATAGTATTGAGGACACTTACTCCCCTGTCATTCAAGATGCAAACCTTAAAATTGTTACTTTCATATTCCTGTCAGTATAATTTAAATATTCATCAAATGGATGTTGAGACTGCCTTTTTTAAATGGTTATGTTGTGTCTGAGGTTTATGTTAAACAGCCACAAGGCTATAATGATAATTCTAAGTAGAGTGTATAAATTAAAGAAAGGAAGCACTATATGGGTTGAAAGAAAGCCCTCGTGCTTGGTATGAGTGTTTTAAACGAGTATATTGAGAAGTCTAGGATTTCATAGAAGTAAATATGATTATTGTCTTTATGTAAAATCTGAAAATGATGTATTTGTACATATATTCTTTTATTTTTGTTGATGATTTGTTGATATGTTGCAAGAGATACTCGGGTAATTAATGATATTAAGGAACAACTACATAAAAAATTTAAAATGAAGGAATTTAAATAAAGTAAAAAGCTACATTGGAATTGATATTGAATATGATAATGAGAAAAGCAATATCTTAACACTGAGTCAGGAAAATTATATTGAATCTTTAGCTAAACTGTATGGTATTGAAAATTCAAAGCTTTATGATAAATCTTACCACACCAATACACCAATGGAGACTAAATCTTAAACTAAGCCAATCTAATTTAAATCAAAATGTCAAATATAGAAATCTAATAGGAGCACTCTTGTATATTAGTCACGGTACTAGACCAGACATATCTTTCAGTGTAAATTATTTAAGTGGATTTCAAAATTGTTATGATGAGACACATTTCAAATACGCTTTGAGAGTTTTAAAGTATTTGTACTTAACAAAACATCTAAAATTAACCTATAGTAAAAATCTTAAAACTGATATTATGAATTGTTATGTTGATGCTGATTGGACAGGTGATATTGTTGACAGAAAGTCAACTACTGGGTTTGTTATTGAATTATTTGGTAATCCAATTTACTGGAAATCCAAAAAGCAAAGTTGTGTGACAAAATCTTCCACTTTTGCCGAATATATTGCTCTATCTGAGGCTGTGACAGAAACTAATTTCTTAAAAAATGTTGTGAATGATGTTTTTGCTGATATAACTCACCCCATTAAAATTTATGAAGATAATTCAGGAGCTTTGGCCATTGCTAATTATGGGAACTTCACTAAAAATTCAAAACACATAAAAGTTCAATATCATTATGTTCACGAAGATGTTCAAAATGGAGTAATTGAAATTGTAAAGATTGATTCAGAATCAAATATTGCAGATATCTTTACTAAGTCTTTAGGAAAGATTAAATTTATGAAATTTAGGGAAGGTTTGAAATTGAAATAAATTTTGTGTACTGTTTATTTAAATATTTTTGCTTTAAATGAAATAGATTTTGGTAATGTATTTATGTAAACTAAATTGTGTTTAACTTTGATTTTAACATTTAAGTTAATGAAAGAAACCTTTTTAAAAATAATTTGTGTTAAGTGTTGAATGTTATTGGTTATATCTATGCTTAATTGTAAATGGTAAAGATGAAAAGGTCGCTTATATCTGTTTATTTGTAATTAGTAAATATAAATGTAAGGAGGCGTGTTAGTTTGGTACATTTATCTTTACCATATTGGCAACATCAAGTTCTCTCTTCTCTGTGTGCGAGCTATGGATGCCGATGTAATGTTGTGCACATGTTGTTAAGTTTCAATAAAAAATGTGAAAAGATACGTTTTCTTATTTTTCGATTTGCTTCTTCATATGATATCGATTTATTTAACACTTCTCAGTGATTCGAACCTGGGTCCTTCGATTCAGCACTCAGCGTCACTAACCACTATCCTGTTTGGGCGGCTCAATGAAACCTGTATTTGTAGTATTAGAATTGTATAATTAATGAACTAAAAATGAAATTTTAGAAATGTGTAATTATTTTTCTAATTTTGCTGCCACACTTTGAATTTCTGTGTTTTTAACCTGTGCAATCAAAATAGTATACCGAAAGAAAGTTTTCATATGATTTACTGTATATGATTAAAAGGGAAAAAAGAGTTATAAAGGCATTATATTTTTTGAAACAAGAAATGTGAGAAATAAACTGTGCCCTCATACTGATTCAAACCTTGGATTTTTCTGTTGCTAGCTGTGTGTACTACCACTTACACTGTAACAACATTGTGGGGAAGTATAATGTTTTCTTATAATCTCCCCCAGTCAAAAGGTGACTGGGAAAAGGCATAGGACTGTGACATCCAGATCCAGGTAGTGTCAAATTATCATCCTGTACATTTTAGTTTAAATGTCAATTTTTTTTTTTTTAATAATGAAGCATGAAAATCAGCTGTGCCTTTACCAAGATTAAAATCATAGATCTTCGAGTTGCTAGCTGGACACTTACACCTCAAGTGTAAGTGTGATAATTCCATATAGATAGATCTATATGGAATTATCACACTTACACTTGAGGGCAGTGTGATAATTCCATATAGATAGATCTATTTATTATAAGATTTAGAAAAAGAAGAGGAGGCTGAAATTATAGGAGGCAAAGTTTTTAATATTTTTTTAATACTTGTATGATAAACCTACTCAAATTGGTATTGTTTATGTTTTTGGTTTTAAAATACAGTCACAGCTATGATAAGTAGATAAAATTTATTGTCTAATAATGCATTTCTCAGTGCAGTATAAGCAAATTACAAAATATCCTCTTTTCTTATTCAACAACTTTTTTTAGTAAATATCACAAATGAAAAGGTTTTTAACGACTTAATAAAATGTTGATAGCAAAATTTCGGATTTATGAATGCTATTATCTGCATCAAAAATAAAATCTGATGGTTGTGATGAAATTTTGTAATAATATAAAGATTACAGACCTCTCTATGTATTTTTCTTTTTTAAAACTTTGCTAAAGTGATAATGTATATTTAAAATGTATTGATAGTCTTCTTTTTGTACAATTTGATATTTAGAAAAGAAATGCTTAAATAAATGCAGGCTTTTAAAACTGAAATTCTTTTTGAACCTTTATTTTATTCAACAAAAAGGAAAAATCATTAATAGTATGAATTAAAAACAGTAAGTTCTATTTTAAAATTAAAAAGGGGAAAAAAAGTATTTGTAGGGCCTTTAATGTTTAGTGGCAAAGCTAACTCTTCTTGGGGTGTAAACTGAAACTTATTACAATTATTCCTGCCTTTTTTTATTTTCATTTCTCTCTCTCCCTTTTTTTTTTAAAAAAAAACAAGGCTTTAAAAAAATTCTTAACATCAAAATTAGTAGTGTATAAAGATTAGGCCATATCTTAATATTTCTTGTGATTTTATCCTATCTCTTTTTGACAAAATATTAATTGTTAAAAAAAATTCTGCAATTTTTTTTAAATCTTATTGTTTTTATCAGTTACATTTCTTTTATTATTTGAATATTCGTATTATTTTCCTTGAAGGACTGTATTTTGAATGAAATTTAAAAAGAAGTTTAAATTGTGTGTTTGCAAAAATAACAGTTTTTATGGCTTTTAAATGAAATAATAATAAATATCTGCATTTACATTTTCTTTGTAATATAGTAATGGGATAATGCATACAATTTATGTGTGATTATTATTTAGTTTAAATGAAAATTCAAGCTTGAAATAATAAGTAAATTTATAAATTATAGTACAATAATAATTGCGAAAGTTATACTTCTTAGGAAAATATAATAAAAAAATATTTTATTTATTTTACTTTATTGAAAATTAATCAAATAGTTGAAATAAATTCATGTTAAATTTATTTATATACTTTGTTAATTCTTATTTATATATTAAATGTGAATTGTTTAATTAAGAATCTTTCCCTATAATTTAAATGATGAAATTATGAAGAAAACGCTTAAGTTATTGCAACATTTCATTTATTTCTTAAGATTTAAGAATAATAGAAGTTTCATAACATAACAGAAGGCGATTCTAAAAAAAAAAAATTATTTAAAATTTTTGCTAAATGACTGTTTACAACCTCAGTTTAAACTTTCTTGGCCTTGACTCCTTATCAAACAAGTCGCACCTAAAAAAATAGTTCTGCACATGAATATTTTATACACTATTATTTATCACAGTTGGCGTTTTTAACTGCGTAACATTTCAGGAATTTGTTTTTATTTAAGTAATAAAAATTACGAATTTCTACTATATTTTAACTTGGCGGAATACCTGATGACGAAATTTTTTTTATTATTATTTACTCATCTGGCGTTCCATTTTCGACCAATAAAAGGCGTGCTAAAGGCGGTGCGGTTACGTAATATGAAAGCTAGCCAATAGCATTTTGGCATGAGCTCGAATCGCGCAGTAATACATTTTCTGTGCAAGTGACGAGACATGTTCTTCAGTGACGAAGTCGAGGCTTCTTGACGTGGCTGCTACGTTACTGCCAATTTATCCAGTCGGGTTGCGGCAAAGTTTGTGACGAGAAATACGTAACTGGTAAGTACTCAGCTGAGCAATAATAACAATCACACATGGTCACAACGTGGATGGCATCATATTTTATTAATATTTTGTTTGTAATTGCAATTAATGCTAATTAAAAGCGTAATGTCGTAAATTTGTGACCCATGCTGTTATGGCCTTGAATGCTATTGTAAATGGCTGTGTATGAAAGGAAATGCATATGTGTTACTACGATATTCAATTATACTCGTTAAAAATGAGACGTATTGTGAAATTCGCAAAATATGAAATTATTGATTTTTTGGTCGGTCTTAAAAGTAAAATAAGACTTAACGCTTTCGTGTATCATCAAACAGAAGGTGCGAAAACCATTTTCCCTTTAATGGTGGAAACATGTTAAGCTGAAAATAAGTGGGTTTAGTATGTATCGTTTTTCATTAGCACGGTTTTGAGTCGCAGGTAGTGTTGTGTTAATTATCGTGGGGATTTGTTCACTCGAATAGTAATTTTATAAGGACTGCTCATTAAAGGAATCTGTAAATTCCGAATTTTATGTGAAGTATTTTACAGAAAAATTAAAATGAGTATTTACTATTTTTTATCTCATCCTTCTTGAAATTCTAAGTTTAATAAACATGGTTAATTTTTTAACGTTAATTATTCTTCCTTATATCTTTTTCAATATTAATGTAACTTTATTTTTGCACACTTTTAAAATCAATAAACTAGCATAATTTAATTTTTTATATACTATTGAACTTTTGAATAAGATTGATTTCATTATTACTAATTCAAATATTTCATTAATATATTCATTCATTGTTGGAATTTAAGAATCGTATTCTTCTAGTAATTATTTTAACATCAGGTTTACCCTTTAATGGAACATCGAACCTTTTTTTTTTTTTTTTTTAAATTTTTCAGTGCTTTTATGAATATTTTGCAAATTATGTAGGTATGTCGAAATGTTTCTGAACTAAATAGACAAGAGTAATTTACAATTATATTTTCAAATTTTTATGTTATGGAGGCGCTTAATGTGATCCTTTTGAGAAATTTCAGTGATAAATGTGCAAGAAGGAACTTGCATGACAAATTTGTTACCTGATTTTAAAGATGTATTATCGTGTAACAAAATTATTTTTTTGTTTCTCATGATAAATAGCAGAGTGGTACTTTCTGATACCTCTAGTTTCAATATTCGGCAAAAGTAGTTTTTGTTGTATTTTTGAGTATAAATGCTACAGTAGCCAATCGGTGCATATTTATTTGTTCTATGTTTATTAACATTTCATTGAACAGTGTACTCTTCGACTCTGAAAATTTAATTACTGCCCATCTAATTTTGTTTCTTGTAAAATTTCTTGGTTCTTATGAACTGCTGTTATTATTATTGTTTATGAATAGAGTAGTACCCTTGAATCTTGAAGATAGCCAAATATTTTTTGCTAGTTCAGAATTCGTATATGACTAGGTAACTTGTGGGGGTAAAAAGTTGTGAGGAAGTTGCTAATTACATATAATATAATCAGCCTTACATACATAAAAGTCAAATTTTGTAAAGTATAATCTCTTTTATTAAATAATGAAAAATCTCTGTGTTGGTTGCTCACACCTTGGAAAAAATAACACACCTAGAGCGAGATTTTTTAACACAGATAATCTGAACATGTGCACCTTGAAGCTGTAATCTTGAATTTGCTTATTTCGTATTTTGTGTGAATTTAATGAAATCTTGATTAATAAACTTCACGATTAAAAAAATATGTTGTCACTCTACAAAGTGTTAAGATATTTCAAATTTTATCGGAAAACAGCAATTTAAAAAATGTGTTGCCACTTGGTGAAACTTAAGGTACTAATTTACAGATTTAATAAAAGGACTGAGCTATTTAAAAGAAGTGTATTGCCACTGGTGCCAGTTTGTTGTCCTCTCACGAAGCACAAGATATTTAGGTTTTCTTTGAAATGTAATTTGTTTATTATCAATTAACAAATAAGTGATTTAAAAGCAATAAATCCTGTTTTTCATCTCTGTTATTGTGAGATTACTAGCTGGATTTATTAAAAGCATTATATATATATATGGCGGCTGGTTGCATTAGAAACTAATTATCAATAAACTAATCATATAATCTTATTAAGAAATTTGATTGCATTTTATATGCCCAGGATCAATGTATTACTTCCCAGGTAAATTTTTTTATAAGTTAGGCCTAAAGTGCAGAATCGCCCACTTATTTATTTGGCGCTTTTTACAAGAGTAGGAAGAATTGGATTTTTGTCAATTTTCTGTGACTTTTTAAGTGAAAATAGGTCGATGTGTACATAGATAAAATCAGGGGAGTGCACAATGCCATTTTTGTACATGGATACTGAGTATGTGCAATTCTTAAAAACGTGCCAAACGGTGGGTGATTCTGCACTTTTTCCTAAGTTAGTTGTTTAGAAACTTTAAATATGTACATAAGTTTTCTGAAAAGACTTCAAACCTACTAGCACTTGAAATCTACACACCATCTGGAATATGAACTTCGAGATTTGCAGTTGCTAACGTAAAAGTGTAAAATTTTTGAATTAAAACTCTTTTTGTAAGTGATGTTGATAAATGGTTGGCACAACTAAGGCCATGATCACTTTTTAATGAAACAAACTCTAATAATGATTGATATTTTTAATTAGTAAAAATCAGACTAAGAGGGAAAAAAAAATTTTTTTTTAATGAAATGGAATGAGAAAAAGATTAAGTATTTCAAGAAAAGGATACTGTGCATAAGATGACAAATTTGGATAAAGAACATTATCAAAAGGATAGTTTTAAAATTATCTCATGCTAGCATATTTTAATTATGATGATGAGAACATTATACAAATACTGTTTGAAATTTTGCTTTTAGGGAAAAACTATTTGTAAATTGACCATGTATGATTAATGAAAAGAGTTCAAATTAGAGTCTTAAAGTTTTAAAACAAACTAGAAAATGTCTAAAAAAATAATTTCTATGCCGTTTTTGATGCGCTATCTTTTAATTTATATAAGAAATATAGATTCTGAGCATAATATTAGGTGATATGGAAATGTGTTAATGGGATGTATGGAATTATTCTTAATTAAATGAACTCAGAAGGGAGTGTAACTGAAAGACTTTGTAAAAAATTGGACTCTTTTTGTTATTGATAAAGAGCGTTCAGTTCATCGCATAGCCCTCAGAATTTTTTAGTGTTGCATGTTGTACAAGTTTCAGATGATACTTTTGTTTTATTTTGCTGTGTATTTGATGTGAAGCTGTAGAATGCTGGGAAAATAGACCAATTTTTTAAAAATTATTACTATTCTTATATTTCTTCATGTTTGAGTGATGAAATCAGTGTACTGCACTTTGATATTTGCTGTACTTTTATTTACTTCAACGTGAAATTTATGATTGCCCTCTCAGGTGTTATGGCAGAAAGGTATCCAGTGCTAATTTTAAATTTAATTTCAGTTTTAAAATAAGTTAAAAAGAAAATTAAGTATGCACTTGTTTGTAATATCTGCTAGTAAAAAATTAAGGTTCAAATTTATATAAAAAAGAATTTAAAAAAAGCTTTGGTAATTTCTGATTAGCCACCTCCCTTCCGATTATAAAGTTGCACAAAAAAAAAAAAAAAAAAAAAAAAAAAGGCTAAGCTGTATGTCACTAAATTGTTATGTGGCAACCCATGATGCCACCAAAAAATCATGTATGTAACAAACCAGGTGACAATAGAACACATGTCTGTTTTAGACCATGTGCAATGCTGAGTTCATGTAATTCTCTGATTTACTTTTAAGTGAAAACCCATCATTGTGTTCACTGAGAGAATCCAAGCTCAAACAAGAAGGATTTCTCCAAAGATATAGGGGTTTTATTACCAATATTTCCTGCCTTTTGAATTTATTAATTGTTCTGGTACGGAATTCGTAGTATGCTGCCTTTTTAAAATGGCTGTTGGCTTTCTTGCAATAGCTTGGCAAAAAGTTAGTTGCCAGCAGGTTGATTTTTCAGTGGGAGTATAGATAATTAAGTACCAAGGTCTTTTGCAAGATTGCTGTAATACAGCGAAATATTTTCAGTTCAGAAGCATGTGATGCATCATCAAAATTTTGCCTCCATGCCTCAAGTCTGAATGTTGACCTATGTAACAGTTAAGCATACAATTGATATGATTAGGTTGTTTCACATACTTAAGAAACAGTTTATTCAAGGTGTGCTAATGAAGTACATATTTTGAACAATCATATCATCGAATAAATTCATTGCAGTTAATAGAAATGCTGAATATTTTTCATTGCTTTAAAATTTTGGAATTGTACTGGACATAGCTACCACCTTTGTCTTTCCACATTTATTTTTTTTTACTGGGATGTTTTTTTTTATTTTTTTATCATGATTGCTGAAAACTCAGCTGTGTACATTGTGTTTTGCATGGATTATTAGAAAAATATCCAGCAGTCATTCAGTTCTTAGCTGTCGAATTTTGTCGAGTGTATTGTCACTAGACAACTCAATATGGTTTTCTTCTGAAGAAATAAATGTAGGTGCAACTTTAATTCTGAAAGAGATTTGAATCCATGTGAACTTGATATTATATCCTTAGTTTTCAAATAATTGTTAAGCTGATGGTGCATTTAAAAAAAAAGTTGTCCGTACAGTGTATATTTGAAGTTCTTTCTATCATAGCATCACCATATTGAATACCATCATCTGAGCAGCTTGTGTGGATCTTAATTTAGATCATAAAAGTTGCTATATTTTAAACTAAAAAGGACCGAATAAAGCAAACGCATAAAAACAATTAATTTTTCTAACCTATTTTATTGAACAAAACAAGAATCATATGAAATGAGCACAAGGATAAAAGCCATAAAATAAAGATATAATTTTTTTTCCATATTTCAAACCCTTTGTTTTGAAACTTTAAGATGTGTAATTCAGTGTTTTTCACAAAATATTTTTCCCAGTGTCTCGACAGTTTGTGGCTAAATACTTGTCAGAAACAGCCAGACACATCAGTTGTTTAGCTGTATCATCTTTAAGAAAGTTGTCATAGGTGCATGACATGTTGGTGATAGACTGTCAGAAAGAGGAACTTTGATCCCAATTTTGAAGAATTCTCTCTAGGAGACAGAGGCAAAGTGTTCCCTACCCCTGTTACCTTACCACTTGAAAAAACTTTTCAGTATTTTAATGTCTCTTACTGCAAAAGGTGCTACGCACTTACAAACATCCATGCCTTCTTTAGGATTCGAACCTGGCTGAAATACTATGGCAGCCAGCTATCTACAGCTATGCCAGCAGGGTAAATTTTCACAAATTAAATATCGTCATTACTTCCTGATCAGTTTCACAGTTTTGTTCTAAAAATTCGAAAAAATTTTCTCCTGAAACCAAAATAGA